AAAATAATAATGAAGGTTTTACATGGGAAATTTTTAAAATTTTCGTAACAAGGATTGAACATTTAAATAAATTAATATGAAAAAAAGGGGGTTTATTCACAATACAATAATAATGTGTTAAATTTTGTGTTTCTGTATAATAATAATAACAAATTTTTAGAGGATACACATTCACTCGAGTTGTAAATTTTTGACCCGGTTGAACCGTTTTGACATGGGTGACCCGGTTTACTATAACCCGGTTCTAAACTTTAGTTTATGCATGCCATACTTTCTTTACAAGTTCGGTCATTCCTACATCATTGGTATTAAATTCATAACAGCCATAAAGAGCAATAAGTGTAGCCCCCCTTAAACTCCAAGTAAGAACCTTATTTAAGACTGGACTACGATGAGATGGGTAATAATCAGTAATCATTGCATCGAATCCAAGATGACAATGAAATGGGAGAATGACACCCAAACAAAGATCAGTAATAGGATGTCCCATTTTTACTACTGATGTAACAGTAAGTGGAATCAAAAGGAAAGACAAAAATCGTTCAAAATCCCAATGATATGACCCTGCAACTTTGTCTTTTGGAGGAAGTACGACTGCCTCGTTTACTGTGCCTTTTATGTACTCTATAATTATCGATGTATTAGTACCTATTTTAAGAGTCATAATTTTTGATGTCGGAAGAAAAATATAGCCTATTTACCTGCACCATTTTCAATAGTTTTAGTAGCCCGAAACGCGCTAGCTCGACCTAGCCATTTATCATGTTTAAATATATTTCAAAGCTATTTTCTTACATAACAACAAACCATTTTTAAAGCTCACCGATGTGAAAACTTGCAACTTTAACGACAGGTGTTAAACGAAAGGAATGCGCTGGACGAATTAATTGCGAAATGGTCATAAGTTTGAAGTACATTTTGTTTATCGATATATAGTAAATTCAGTAAACTCAGTAATTTTTTATCGTATGATGCAAAATATTAATACAGTAATATTGATATTGATATGTTACCGCTACGTACAATCAGTTAATCATAGATCATGCATTATCAATTACGAAAATATCAGATTGTGACTTTGGAGTACCTTAATGGTCAAATAAAACTCGAAATTTTTTTCTAAGTGGTGACGACTTACAAACTCTTTAATTCATGATTTTTTGTGAATATCTTATATAATGGAAATACCAATTTCTTATGGTACAGTCGCCATTCCGCCGAGTCTCAATCATTTTGCGATATATAATCCTACTTTTGGACCTACAGAAGAAACGCAGAAAGATCAATTATTATATTATGTAGCAAAGAAAACAGTTCCAATCGACGTCCAAATGCGTCAAATTGGCCTGGCTCAGGGCTTAATTAACTTTACAAGGTTAGCTTTTTTTGCGGTTATATTTTTAAGCTATATCTTTACACAATGGCAGTATAATGCAACCTGCCGGAAATATTTTCACTTGCTGGTAAAAAGTGTTTGTATGAAAATAATTTTGTTGCTGCTGAGGGAGATTTAACGTTCTGGTGAAATGTTATAATTAAGAATTTTGAAATATTATTTATACGTCACAATATAGGGCATTTTCTCCAATAAAGGCTTGTGAGAATGTTCACACACAAAAAAATCGAATGGTATTTCATCAACCTGAAAAGGATTATTGGATATATGTTGTAAGTCATCCCAATATGTAAGAAAATTGATTTTCGTACAATTTATTTTTTTAAAAAATTTTTGATTATCTTTACAAATAAAAGTCAATCGAATTAGGCTACATAAAAAAATTAACGAAGGATAAAGACGGCAAACCGAAAAATGTCATTGAATATCTTGATTCGAATCTACATGATTCAGGAATAAAAAGAATGCTTGACATGGGATATGAAATGTATAGAGTAAATAAAGAATTCATTTAAACATATTGTTTTATTGTAAATACATTATTATAAAAATAAAAATTTTCAATATTTCAGGTATTCAACGGTACTTTCGAATCGACAGTAAAAACCTTTGGAGTAATGGCTTTAAAAACTAAATTAAAGGAATTTTTCTCCAATTGGGTTTTTGAATGGGATTTTGATAAAACTGAACTTACAAAGACAATTGATGGTCAGCATTCTTACAAAAAAATGAGAACTTTGTTAAAGCAGAATTATGTAAGATTCATTCAATCATATATGCATTTATTACTACGAAAATAGGCATTTTTTATCTTCCCCTTTCCAATCCAGCCATTTCGAAGGTTTCATCATTTGTTGAACAAATTCAGGCAGAGCATAATTTTATATCGGAGATACTTGTATTGTGGCAAAATAAATTGGTATATAATGGAGATGGAAATAGAAATATATCAGAAAATGATCTAAAGAGCATATTACGACATCTAGTTCCTTTGATATCAGAGAAAGATGCGCTTGAAAGGGAACTACTTGAGAAAAAGAAGAAAGCCAAAGAAACTGAAAAGGTAAGTAAGTTCATTTTTGATGGAATTTGAACTATTTTTTTTATATTATTTTGAGTTGAGTCCCGTCTATATATATATATATATATTTTTTTTTTTTTTTTTATTTAGTTATCTTCACTCAAAGGGTTTACCCGAAATTTCTCCGGAAGCAATCTTTTTTCATACTTTTCATCATCCATCTCTCCAAGCACATCACCACCTAACAAC